CTTTCTCAAAGGCATTAGAACTTTTAGAAGTTGCACCTACAATAAGACAAGACTGAGATCTTTATCTACCTGGCTCTGCTTCACCTTTATGCCAACAAACAAATACAAAAGCACAAGCAGAAAGATAGCACTTTACACTTCTGTAAGACATGCTTCACATCTCTGCCTCATCTCTGTTGTACCAGCCCAACTCTACTTCAAACCCTGGGAAAAAACTCACTAAAAAGATTTGCCGCCTAAGGGACCGTTTCGTTGCATTGTCTTTTCTAGCTAGACCTGAACAGACTGAAATCAATGCAGCTCCTTCCTTCTCCCCCCTCTCTTGTGTCTATTTTTTGTTCTTAGTTTGTGCCCTCTGCCTTAAACAAGTCCAGTTTAGTTACATCCCCATAGCAATGAACTGTCCAGCAGCTTCTGTTTCTTGTAAAAACACAAGGTCTTTTTCATAGGTTTCAAGTGCCTCGTCAGTTCAAAATGCTCAGAGTAGGGAGGGGTGCAATTTGCAGAATAAGAATGCAGCTGATTTAAGGATTTCTAATGCACTTATCACCATGGTATCTGAGTGCTTTTGTATTAATATAATACATGACACCAGTCATCCATTGTGGTACAGCACTGGAGATCAGATTTACTAGAAAATTACTTGCAAGGTTATAAGAAAACAAATGTGTAACACTGTGTATGTGTGTACTGATATCTGCGGTGAACTTTGGGGGATACTTATCACTGAGTCCGCTGAACTCAACTGGACTTACTTCTGAATAAATCTAATTAGGAATTCAACTGTAGGAACTCAATAGTAGGAATTTTACAGTGAGATTTTGTATAATATAGCGTCAGTGGCAATGGATAGATCTTAAATTTGACTAACAGTTTGATATTAAAACATATAAGTTCACATATCTCATATTTAAGCATGAGAACATTTTTAGAAATACCATGAATATACAAGTCTCCTTATGTTCAGATGCTTTGTTCTGATTCACTTTTATTTCTCTGCTAAATGAGTATAGTATGGTAATTTGAAGGAATTTTGAGTTTGCAGAATTCTTGTTCTTCAATTCCTGGAAAGGAAGGAAGTGATCCCATCAACTTGTTCCTGTGGTATTAACACAAAAAGCAGATCTAATTTGTTTTTAGAAATTACCCCACCACCACCACTACCACCACGTACATATAAACTTATTTTGGGATGACTGGATTAACTAGGCTACTATAGTTATAATTTCAGATCCTTCCATTTATTAATTACATAAATGTGTTTATTATTTAAGTGAAAAAAGGGAGGGGAGGGAGATAAGACAGGTATCATTATCCCTGCAATCATTCAAAAACTTGGAGCTACAGTAGTTTCTGAAGCTCTATGCAACTAGCTAATGATACTAGTTCTTTCCTTTTCTAAATGCATACAGGTATTTACTATAATCAATGTGGTATGTGTGGCACTGATCAGAATCAGCTCCCTGTTTTGAAAGATAAGATAGTATTAACTGATGGTACAGCTTTGATTTATATTTTCTGCTTTCCCTTATTTCTAGCCTACCACACAGTATACTAATGTTCTAAAAAGCACATATAATTTACTCCCCCATATGTTCAATTACATAATAAATAAATGTTGGACCTGGTCTTTGGGTGTTCAGTAAATTTTGTTGTATTCGTTGTATACTCTGTATACACATACAATGACAATAAAGTTTATTACATTATTATTATATTAAATACTGCAGTTTTAAAATAATTTAACCACATCACTAAAAGCCCTCCCATATTTCTGGATTTGATGAGTTTCCATGAGAAAAAAAGTTCCACAGGTATAAAAAAATAGAGTGAAGAGATAGTGATCAAAACATAGTCTTTGCTCATCTGCAAAGATAGGAAAAAGTGTAAAGAAAGAAGCCCAAGCTGATAATAGCAAATATATTAGGAACTAACATTACATCATATTATGCTAGCTCAGTACTGTCTTATCTTGTTGGAAGTAGTTCTCCTAGGTCTTTCCCAACACATGGAAATGACAACAACTAAATTTGAAGTCTGTTACTTATAAAACAATTGCACTGTCCTAAATTACAATCATTCTTTTATATTTTTAGCAGACTTGATGTAGAGTGCAGTAGCTTCTGTTAACAATCAGCTATCCCAGGGGTCTGCAACGCGTGGCTCTGGAGCCGCCTGTGGCTCTTTCATCCCTCTGCTGCGGCTCCCTGTCGCTCAAAATATGAGTCACACCCGCCAATGTGCAACACCCACCGGCATGTGATTTATTGAGCTTTTTGACCCATCTTTTTTTTTCGGAATTCAAAATGTTTTTGTTGCACGGAGAAATAAAAATTTGTTTTCTCTGTAGCAGTTTATTGATTTCATAAATGCAACACACTATCATTTTTTTATACATAGCATAAAGGTAAAAAACGATATATAAACAGCGTTATCTTCATTTTAGATGTCAAAAGGGTTTTGTGGCTCCCGGTGTTTTCTGTGGGTAACGGGTCCAAATGGCTCTTTGAGTGTTTAAGGTTGCCGACCCCTGAGCTATCCAATGGATATTAAGAAATTAGGTTAGCCTTATTTGCAGAAAGTTTAATTTTAAAGCTGCAATGCAACCAACACAGCAGCCCCACCAAAAGTGTCTTCTTATAGCCTACCTTTAGTACTAACATTTTATTTCATCCCAGGTATCAAGAGTCAAATTGTGCTATAGTGCAAAAATGAGTTGTTCAGTAAATGCAGTTGATACATCTTGATGGAATTAAGTTATTGTCATCAGATAGATAACTAATGTTATTCATCAGGTGTTGTTTTATATTTTTTATCACTGGGAAAGAAGAAACATTGTATTTTTTATTTTTTTTGCTTCAGATGCCAAAATAGATTGGATTTTATCTGGCATTAGGCCAAAAAAGAAATAAAAATATTGAAAGTTAGCAAAGATAAGTAAAGATAAATGTGGATAGAAGTTTTAAAACGCCAGCAAATAATATTGCAATCGCATATAATCTCCCACTATGTGGGAAACAAAAAGGGATAACTATGATCAGAATATTCATATGGTTCATTCCTACCTTTATTGCCAAAGGTAATAATTGTAATATGCTATAATAGTATAATAGTCCAATGTATATGTTGTATTGATTTTTGCAAGAATACCCAGTGATATTTATTTAAGACTTTTCTTTAAAATCTCCTGTGATGAAACTTTCAGACTATCCCCAGGCAATTATTTATTTTTTTCCAACTGTTTTCTTGATGTTAACTTTCACTTTTATTTAATACCAGGCTTTAAAATATCGGAAATTTGCCCTTTCCCCCAAAAAAAGAAATGCCTTCTGCCTCTTCTTATATAACAGTTATTTCCTTTTTATCAGCTTTATTGTTATTCTATGAATGCTGATTTCTCAGAGATTGAGGCAAAGTTTAAAAAATAAGGTTGGGGCAGGTTTGTTGGGCCTACTGACCTTTTCCCACCCAGCAATTTTTTCTGTCCCAGTGCAGAATGACAATAGAGCCCCTCGGACCGAACCCACTAGAATTATCTGTTGACACCACAGCAGATTTAGAGCAATTTTGTCAGTCCCCCAAAGCATCTTGCAGCAGAACCAAGCACTACTTCCCCACTCGCTCCCTTTTCTGTTGTTGTTGTTGCTGCTGCTGCCGTGGCTGTTACTGTTTGTTTCCATTCGCTCCCTTTTATTCTCTGTTTCTTTCCCCCATTCTTGACTCTGACAGGGGCTCCCTTTTGTGCATAACAAGCCCTTCTGATCTCCATGAAAGGCTAGCCCATGTCATTCTTCCAGATCATCATTGTATGACATGTTTTTATATCAGCCTGACAAAGGAGCTATTTGATCAGGGGGTATGGTGTGTGATTGTAAGAAATTCAGCTTGCTGGTGGCAACCATTGTTCCCCAAAGCGGCTCCCTGACCCCATTCCATTCAAGGGAAAACTCCCTTGGAGTGGCCCCTATTCATTGAGAAACACCAGTCCACAGTCTCACTCTAGGAGCATGTTCAATTCAGAGGCATGTCACTGATATTGCCCATTGGCCAGCATTTAACCCTTTTGCAGGCATTAGATTTCCAGAACAACAACTGTTATCATAGCGATGGTCTCGAGGGGTTAGCAAGGCATTCCAGCTCATTTTGGCTCACTTTATCTTGAAGAAATTGAGCCTCCTTTTCAAAAGTCAGGTTGGACGATCATTTGTCCGCTGCTTTTCCATCCTGCCAGGCTGAGTTTCATGCTCCCACCAGAATAGCTGACAGCTTTCCACGATGAATCAGTAAATGGCCCAGTGAATAAGCATTGGGCTAAAAAGTGATTTTAAAAAACCAGTTTGTATTTCATAAAAAGAAACTCAAACGTCCTGTAGAGAATGCTGTTTGTGTTTAAACATACAGTTATCCTGATCCAGCAATCAGTAGGAAAGAGCACTCTAATCCTGGTACAAAACTTTTCCACCCAAAGAAGCTTAGCCATTCATTTCGGGTGGGGTGGGGCGGATATTTAATCCAATGTGTTTCTCACATTGATAGAGCTACTGCTGACCAGTGAGGACTATAAGGATTCAAGCACCTGCATGAGGTGTGAACCAGGGGTGGGTTCTACTTACCTTTACTACCGGTTCGCAACGAGGCCGCGCTCTTCTGCGCAAACGCAGAAGCATTTTGATGACATTGGGGTCGGTGGGCGGAGCCTCCTGCTGGTTTTATTACCGGTTCTATAAACCGGTGCGAACCGGGGGCATCCCTCCAACATATCTCCAGATTACAGTAAATTGGATATCTCCCAAATATTTCTTTGTCCTCTTTAGCCAATAAGCAAATGTATCTTCACAATGAAAGCTGCACGAAGACAATCTTATACCAACTTTGAATAGATAGAATATAAGAATTAAGATATATAAGTACAGGAACAAATAGACAGCCATATCTGTAGTATTTTCATATTAGCTAATTATAGACTAATGGATTTTTTTTCCTGTTTTTCTTATTTCCAGGACTATCTGACACAATTACATGCCTTATTCTTCAAAGGTAGCTAAGCAACGGCCAAAAGAGATAACTCATCTTCCAAGGAATACAACTGATTGCACTTCCAGTTTGGCTTATGAAGGATAGTGGATCTTTACAGGGTCTAATACATGGGGCTTGGTGAAGAACAGCTTTTTCTATTTATTGTTTAAAATGCCTGCAGCATTCGTTTCAGACTCCTAGAACTTCTTACAATATCAAAAATATATGATTGCCCTTGTAGAATTGTAATTTGAGTTACGTATTAATAATATGAAATTAATTTCCAATCATTTTGATTGGAACATTCTTTATATAGAAATCAGACAAGATACAGTACAAATAATGGAAAAAATAAAAATCATCAAGCATTACTACTCTAATGCAAAAATCAATATTTGTACTTTAAATATCCTTCATGGCATTTATACCATATACGGTATTCAATTGTTTCTTTAAGTATTTTAAAGAGTACTTAAATTCTTTTGAGTATTTTACAAACAATAGACTATATGCTTAAATTCCAAAAACGAAGCTATTATGATAAACAACCTTAACTTTTTTTCCAAATAAAGAATGTCAGCTGATTGCTGTTGATTTTTTTAAAAAGCTTCTTTGTTTTTAAAGGCATTTTTCAAAGTTCATAGAAAAACAAGTTAAAATATAACATCTATTTTAATAATAATCTGTCAGGTAAAACAAGAGATTCAAAAACAACATATTAAAAAGCAAATATTATAAAACTATACAAACCTGAGACAGAGAAAGGATAAGAATGGCTACCCAATAATGAAGCTATCTAAGCATGTCTCCGGTTCCCTGGAAGTCCCAGGCCTAATGACATATCTAGGTCTTGAGGGACTTCTGGAATATTAAAAGGGATGGGGCTAATCTAATTTCAGGAGGAAGCATATTCCATAAGGCAGGTGCCACAACAGAGAAGGCATGTCTCCTGTGACCCACCAAATAGGTGGGTCACAGCTGATGGTATCTGCTGCATGCTTTCTCTGCCAAATCTAATGGGGCGATGGGTTGATTTGACTGGGGAGAGGTGACCCTTCAGATAGCCTGGTCCCATGCCATAAAGGCACTTAAAGGTTAAAACCAGCACCTTGAATTGGACCCCAAAACAAACTGACAGCCAATGCAACTCAGAGCAGTGGTGTTGCACATGCTGTTTTAGGAATGCACATAACTGCCCATGTTGCTGCACTGTCTACCAGCTTGATGAACTTGATGCACTCTGTCCATCAAGATAGTCTTCAATGGCAGTCCCATGTACAGCATATTACAGTAGTCCAATCTGGTGGTGACTAGGGCATGAGTGACTGTAATCAGGGCCTGACAATCCAGGAACAGGTGCAACAGGTACATGAGCCGAGATGGCGCAGTGGTTAGAGTGCAGTACTGCAGCTACTTCAGCTGACTGCTAGTTCAGCAGATCAGTGGATCAAATCTCACCGGCTCAAGGTTGACTCAGCCTTCCATCCTTCCGAGGTGGGTAAAATGAGGACCCAGATTGTTGGGGGCAATATGCTATTTAGTATACTGTCTTTGGTGTAAGCCGCCCAGAGTCCTCGGAGAGTGGGTGGCATAGAAATATGACTAATAAATAAATAAATAAACTAGCACACAAGACAAAGTTTAGCAAAGGCCTTCCTAGTCATTACTGCCATCTGCTCATCAAACAGGATTGTGAGACTAGGGCAACCCAAGATTGCTCACTGGGTCTGTCTGATACTTTTCTAGCACCAATGATGGCATAGTCCTGGAAGCAATAGGCCCTAAACTCCAGAGCCATTCAGTCTTGCTAGGATTCAGCTGAAGCTTATTATGTTCTATCCAGACCCTCTCACCTTCCAGACACTAGGTTAAGATGTTCACAGTATCACTTAATTGTCCAGAAGTAGATACATAATTGAGTATCAGCATATTCATGATACCTCATCCTATGGCAATGAATTAGCTCACCCAGCAGCCTCATGTAGATGTTAAAAAGGGAAGGATAACCCTGTAGCACTCCCATACTAGGAGCTGAAGGCAAGTCCTCTCCTCCACAATCATCACCTATTGGAATTAATCTTGAAGGAAGGAGACAAACCAACAAAACTCTGTCCATCAACTCCCAATCCTCTGAACCAATCCAAACGGATAATATTGTTGATGGTATCAAAAACTGCTGTGAGGTCAAAGTAGGGCAAGAATAGATGCACTACCTCCAACCTGCCCAAGCCAGAAGTCATCCAAAAGCTGGACCCTGGTAAAACACAGTGATTTATGGGTGGGTGTGCCCCTATCATCTTTGGTCTTAGATAGGGCTACAGCACCCCTGTCATGGCTCTTGACAAACTTCAGTCACTAACTCCAGACAGACCTGGTGTGTAATCTGGAGGTCCTTCTGGACTCAGGCTCCTGCTTGAAGAGCAGGTTGCAGCCATGGCTAAGAGGACCTATACCCAACTTTGTATTGTGCACCAGTTATGCCCTTTCCTGGCTAGGAAGGCTCTCCAGTGACTAAAGGCCTGGTCATCTCTGTTTGGATTACTGAAGTGCACTCTTCATGGGCTTGAAAAGTATCTGGAAGCTTCAGCTGGTACAGAATGTGGCTGCACAATTTTGGGTATCCAAAGAATGGCAAATGTAACACATTTGCTGTGTGAGCTGCATTGGTGACAGTTTGCTCCAATCCAAGGTGTTTGTTATAACCTTTAAAACCTTGCATAGCATGGTGCCAGTCTAACTACAGAACCATCTTTATCCCATTATATCAGCCCATCCCACCCAATCAGGCAGGGAAGGCTTGTGGTGAACCCTACCTACTAAAGAATTTGGACTGAAAGGCTCCAGAAAGAGAGCCTTCTCTGCCATTGCCCTCACCCTGTAGAACATTCTATGGACATCCTAAAATGCTTTTGAAGCATCTACATTTTGATACTTGCCTCCTAGATTGCTCACACTTTTACATCTCCTGGAACTTGGTCAAAGCAAAGAGTAACACAGTACTGGTGATAATGTGAATACTGAAACTGCTAGAAAGAACTTACCCAGAATACCTACATACTAAACATTCCATGTGATCAAATAAAAAGAATGTCAAAGCGCTTGGGTAGCCACTGGAGATTCTTTGAGTCTGTAGTATTATTCCCTGCACTTCCTCTGAATTCTCAGTTTACTGCTGCTTTTGAATCCAGTATTGGTCTTGCAAAGTCAGAGAGTGGGACTAGCCAGTAATGCCTTTGATTTCATCTGGTGCATCAGCTACATTCATTCTTGGGATAGAAGGTTTGGCCACCACTCATTTAGATGACTATTTCATGGCTGCCTTCATACAACTTGATAGACTAGGCTACAATAATGACAGATAGAAATGAAAGTTGTGTTTTGCATGGGGGGAGAGAGGGATAGGCCCTTGCCATTATAGATGATTACCAACACCTTGAATTGCTCTGGAAACCAAATAGTAACCAGTGTATCTTGCAGAGTATCAGTATTACTTAGATGTGCCATATGGTTATGGTTAAGGTGCAACCATAAATACACATGCCACTGCATTATACATCAGCTGTAGTCTTCAAGGATGATCCATGGAAAATGAATTGCAGTAATCCATTCAAAATTGGAATTAAAGTTTATTAAGATAGACCATAATAAGAATATTGCAACCCGATTATCCTTTATCTCTCTATCTTATATCCTGGTGAATCAGAGAGGTTCTGTAAATCTTTTCTGAATATTATCTAGCTTCACTCAAGATGATATTCCTATTTCTTCCACTGATGAATCATGTCAAACATTTTTGGAAGCAAAGCTTAATTTGTGGTCATTGTTCTCAAAAGAATTTGAATATACTTTGAATATTCTCCCTACTAAATATCGGGGAAAAGCTGCAAAGTTTATTTATTTATCAAATTTCTGTATCACCCATCTCACCTAAGTGACTCTGGGCAGTTTACAAATAAAAACAGTAAAAGGTAATTGTAAAAGTTACTTATTATTACATATCATTTGAAATGACAAAAGCAATACAATTTTTATTTAAGATTCAGGCTGCTGATAGACAGTTATTTATTGACACAATTTAATAATTTTCAGTTTTATGATTGTGGTACTTAGCTATATAAATCAGAGATTTCTGTAACTGAACTGCAAATTACAGTTTATGAACTGACAATTCAGTTTATGAACTTTGGGAAACCCTTGGCCAGATGGATTTCCAGCTGAATGATAACAGAACTTTTATAACCCTATGGGCATCTATATTGTTAGAGGTCTGCAATCAATCATTTAATCTCTATTATTTTATGAGGTTTGTACTACAATAATATTAAAGCCTGTAAAAGACCTTACTGGATGTGTAAATTATAGACCAATATCTTTGCTCAACATGGATACTAAAATATTAACCGTAACACTAGGCAAGAGGCTGCAGAAAGTAATACCATTTATAATCACCCATCTTAGTATGGGTTTATAAAAAAATATAGACAAGCATCTGGTAATAGCTGCCTGGTGATAGATTCTTTGGTATCAAAGCAAATAAATTTGAATCAGCTGTTCTAATTTAATTATACATTGAAAAGGTCTCTCATATGGTTCAGGTCAAATTTATTAAATAAATAAACCTTCACAACTGGTTTCTACCATCTTTGTACACTGGATTTCGATGTGATATCTTAACCCAATGGCTCCTAGAGTGATCTATTTGCTTCCTTGTTTACTTAACATATTTCTATGCTATTGCAATCAAAACGACTCTCAATAAACCTATCAAGTTTTATCGTAACACCTAGCAAAGTGCTTTTGGTCTCATTTAATCTTTAGTTTGGTTCATGAACGTTGTTTTCTTCTGCTAAGATAGTCTTAAGATATTAGAAGTGTGCTGGTGTGCTTGACACCGAAGATAAATTATTCTTAAATGCTAATACTATAATATAGTTATTCTGGATAATTATATAATATCATTACCAAGGCTTATTATTATACAGTTTATACTCATATAAATCACATAACATTGCTCGCACTGACTCTTGACCTGAAAACGTTTAATTTGATGTCTTTGGGATCTGGCATATCTATAGATTATAGATAAAATGTAGCTAAAAATGTAACATCGATGAATGTCCTTGGAAGAGCTTTGAATTATTGGTGAAGAAGAGTCAAGATGATGAACATTTATGCATGCAATCACCAGGAATCAGATCTACCTTAATAGCATCTAACTATGAGGAACATTAGTTTCTAAGGGAAATTCCACACTGTATGGTTTCTCATAGTCTTAAATTCTGTCTCCTCCTTAACTGATTACATTTCACACTATCAGCATTACCTCTTCCTGATCTTTTTCCATTTTGTCCATTCTACTTTTAGTGCACAACATTAAATCAAGGAATTTTATAGTTGTCCTTTGCTCATGGTCTACCTCTATTTCTCTTGGCTTTGCTTCTCAAGTTGCAAAGTTCAGTGCAGAAAACAATGTATTTGTTAATGATGTGGTGCTCCCTCTGCTGGCAGAAAACATAAACTATGGCTATGGCTGCTTTGATTTCTTGCTTTTCCTAGCAGAATTATTTCTAGCAGATAGTTTTTC